TGGTTTGAAGTACTTTGGAGTTGGTTCGTTTGAAACTGAATTTGATTTCATATTATGATTATGTGAATAAAATATGAAAGCTTAGCTGTTGCACTTACACATTTGTTTTCTTTTTCTTCTTCCTGCTTAAATAAAAATTAATTACTTGTTTTAGTAACTTCTCTTCATCTTCCTTGTTACCACAAAACCTATGTCCATTCTCTTTTCGATAAAATTCCATATTAATAAAATCATGTAGATTTAGCTTACCTTCTCACTCTACATACATATGAATGAATCTATATATAAAAAGATTATCAAAAATCATTTTTGACTACATTGTTTCAATTGGTTATGGACATTTTAAATAAATTTCGTTGGTTCTAACTTCTAATGAAGTAATGTTTTGAAAATTTTATTCAGGAAAAATTGGCTTGTATATCTCCAATCTTATTAGAAATTTGAAATCTATACTAAATTTGTTACATTTTAAAAAATATTATATTTTAAGAATTAAAATGACAATTATATCCTTATTTAACAAGATTAAATTAGAAAATAAAATTATTTAATTTTTCTAATTTTTATTTAAAAATTGATTTATAATATTTAAAACTAATATATAACCATCTATTGATAATCTAATAATCTAATAAAAAAATTTCTTGATAAATATCTAAGGAATTGATTTTAATTAATTTTAAAATTTACAATTTAATTAATTTATATAATAATATGTCAAGTCGATGGACAAAAAATTAAATCAATGGTTTAAATAAGTCGACAAGGTAAAAAGTCAGTCAATTAAAATATAAATCGATGGTTTAAAATAAATCGATGAAACAAAATTTTAAGTCAACGAATTAATAAAAATAAATCAGTGGTTTAAATAAGTCGATAATTTAAAATGTCAAGCAAACGAAATATAAGTCAACAATTTAAAATAAGTCGACGAAACTGAAAATTAAGTAGACAAAAATAAAAAAATAAATTATTTGTATAAATAAATCAACAAAGTAAAAAATCAACGAACCAAAATATAAGTCGACTGTGTAAAATAAGTCTATCTTTATTTTTTATTTTAATAAATCATTTAGCTTTTAGATATTAATTTACTAACAAAATGTT